ATATGCACCTCCTCGACCCATATATGTTGGATCAAATCCTGCACCCATCATACCCTGTGGATGCATCATTGCACCAGCTGGACCTGCCAATGCAGGACCAGYAAGAGCTTGTRCATAAGGTCCTCCAGTGGCACCTGTTCCAATCCCCCCAGTGCTTCCAACCATGCCCTTTGCTCCAATAGCCCCACCTCTGCCCCTCAYTGCTCCACCCCCTGGACCTCTRTTGATCATTCCATGACCCCCTCGACCCCATGGARCCTTGCCATAATTTCTTGCCACTTCACCGGCTGGATGATTCATTCCACCACCCCTCCCTACCCCATCATTCATAAATCTCCTTCCCTGTGGCTGAGACTGAGATTGCATTTGGGTTTTGTTTAGATAAGCRGCMCCCATCTGCTTCAGWGTYTGTGSAGATGCAAAAGCCACCACGCAAGCTCGACCATTGAAAACATGTCCWTTCATCCCCTCCTTGCATGCAGCTGCAGCAGCTGGATCATAGAATTCAACTTGGCAATAGCCTTTGGATTTTCCACTAGCYCTTTCATCAAAGAATTTGATTTCCTTGACCCTCCCATATTGAGATAGCACAYTTTCAAGCTCAGCRTCAGTAGTCCACCAATGCAGTTCCCCYACAAAAAGCATGGTCGTACCATTCTCTACCGCTKGCCGGTTCATATTTTCATTMRCCATTGGGCGGTTCATATTAACATTCATGTTCATTCGATTAGATGGCATCTGTGGAGCACTTYTAGGACCAGCGGTGCCTGAATCAGGTAAYGATGAAGATTCACCTGCAAATTTTCCTGACAYCTGACTAGGATCAGCCCCAACTTTCGGGGGAATAGGTGCTGATCCTCGAAACCCCAAATTTCCTCCTTGAGCATTAGGACCCATCTCCAAAGGCCTCCCCTTCTGTGAWACTCCATCTGGGTAATCACCAGTTCCCTCTTCCAATCCRTTACCAGCAGAGAAGCCTCCTTTTTTCTGCTCAGAAAAACCAGTTACCATATTGGAACCCTTCCCTTCCAAACCAACTCCTGGGATGCTTACCTCTTGTGATCCACCAGGTTCGGGGACCCTTGATCTAGAACCGTCAGTCTTCTGAGCTTGTATTCCACCATTCCCAATACCACCTAACGGGACTATTGCCTCAGGGCGCTGCAGTTTGAGGAAACCATCACCAACGTTCACATCGTTATAGAGATCATCGTATTCATCGTCTTCCCCCATCATCTCCTCTTCTGCAAGTGCAGAGATTGCTCCACCACCCTGATACTGGATCTTCTGACCTCCTCCATACTCTTCATCCCCGTAGTCTAATTGCTCTTCAGCCATGGGGTCCATTTATGTTGTCTCCAGAAGAACAAATTTACCGATATCTCTTAACTGCACCTAATAAGCAAGCGTATGAGAAACGGGGAGAGAGATCATGCCCCATTTAATAAATCGAGGAAAAGCCATAGAATTTAACCATCCATCGAGTACAACACATACAAGAGGGGGATAAAATAGAAACCTTTAGCTAGCATCCATAGAGAACTCAAATAACAGAGAAAATTTTGATCATGGAACGGATCAAATAAAGGAGCGGATCTCCAAAATCGGACGTCATTACCCAAAACAGTGTGCGTATGTGTGTCTGTGAGAGGGAGGAAGGGATCCATTAGAACACTAGGAAAAGCAGAACACGAGAAACTCTGTGTGACCCACCCAGGGAACCTCACCCAATTCCTAGAAAATAATAATGATAACAGACTAATTGAGAATTATTTGCTACCCAGGAAACAGCTAACAAGAGCAACAGAAATTGCCAAAGTTTCCAATACCCACCCAAAAAATCGAAAAGACGAAAAATACAAAGAATCAAACTATTAAAGTGCATGTCCCTAATTTCATTATGAAAAGTAGGAATGAAGAACGCGCACGGTGCACGCACACCTTAGCATATTGCATATAAATGTCGAGCAGCTAACCTACTGAGAACACAGACAAATAAAATAAAACCAAACGAACAAAAGGTGGATCTAAGATAATGCTAAAGAAGATTATTACCAGGAAATGCGACCACCACAAAGTCAGTGCGACGGGAATGAAAAAAGTTGCGAGGCTTTCCGGTGTTGATGTTTTGGATAGGCTGCAGATAGATCGAAGATGGTTAGAAGCTTCCTCACTCTTCTCTTCTGCCAAATCCTGGTTTTCCACCCCCTTAGCCGCCAGGGTTGTCCTGTAAAGCTACAAGAACAAAAGACGGGCTTCTGTCTCTCTCCGATCTTCTTTTTCCTTCAGCTCTGCTAGTACCCTTAGGCCTTATCAAAATCCAAGAGTTGAGTCTTCAACATTCATGGAGTTATTATCATCCATCTAACAACCAATAAAATCAACAATATTTGTCCTTAATCAAACCTCAGTTGTCTAATCTGAATCAATATTAAAAAACAATATAAAATAGAATAAGGAAAAGTGCAGATAACTTCTTTTAATTTGGCTAGTCTCACTTTAGTCCTCAAACTTAAAAATTAACCAATCTAGTATCTAAAATTATAAATTAATAAATTTAAAATAATTTTTTAAATTACCTTTATGATTTAGTTAATTAATTAATTGTACTTTTATTGTTTGAAAATTGATTAACGCTGTCTTACTGTCTTTTAGAATTGACTAATACTTCTTTATCGTTAGCACACCTTAATATTTTCATTAACAAAAATATTAAAAAGAATATTTTATCCTTTATTTTTCTTCAAATTTTTAAAATAAAACAGGGAAAGGAAAGAGATACTACATTTCGAAACCTGATTTCTTCTTCCCACTACAATGCAGGTGATGGACGGTTTCTGGAATCGGGAAGATAGGAATGGAAATGTGATATTTTGTTTGGTGAATATGCATTGTGTTGCACGTATGAATTTTTTTCATATTAATTAGTTGAATTTTAGATATGTCATAATTAGGATAGAGATTGAAAGTTAATAAAAGTAACAATAAAGTAAACTTAAATTCTTGTACTAAATGTACACTTGCAGAAAATTTAAATTACAATAACAATTATTACTACTACTACTAATGAATTTTGTATTTCATTTCTGTCAAATAAAAATAATTCTTATTTTATCAATTATTTTTATTTAATATGATGATTATGTAACATTAGAAATGTTCCAAAATGTCTTTAATAAAACTATAATTTTTTATCTTTTGTGTTCTATCTTTTTTTAAATATTTATTATTCAATTATGACATCGTGAATTTCTTTGAAAAGTTGGATTGTTAGCCCACCATTTAAATAAAAAAACATATTTTTTACTTATCACACTTAATTTTTATTTAACATAATTAATATATATTTTTATTATTTTTTAAATATTTATTATATAACCATTATATCATCGATTAATTCATTTGACCCAAACCACTAACCCACGACTCAAAAGGAAAAATAGTTTGATTTCTAGGTTGACATTAAATTTTGTATTACATTTCCATTGTTGATAGAATTATATCTTATGCATAATATTTATTTTTGTGATTCTTTGTATTTTCTAATTTTAAAAATTTTATTATTTGACTATGGCATTATTTCATTTTTAGGTTGATTTTAATTTTGGCATTCCATTTTCATCATTTACAAAAATACTTCTTTCATTTCATACTTATTTTTGTTTAGTATAATGAGTATACAATATTAATGACATGGCCAGTTCTTTTTTATTTTTTTGTATTATATATTTTATTTATTTTATTTTTTTATTATTTAATTATGTCATTATTTATTAACGGATTTGACCCCAAATGGTTGAATTGTTTACCTACCACCGAGAGGGAAGAAAATGGTTTTATTTTCAAATTATTTTTCAAAATATTTATTTTTATATTATTAAAATTAAGGTTATGTATTTAATTAGTACAATTAAATGATGAGAAAAATATATCTTAAATATAGGATTTAATAAGAGAATACACCTTAGATATAAGATTTAATGAGAAATAATAAGAAAATAGTTTTACTTCCAATTGGTTTAAATTTTACATTTCATTTCCATAATTAATAAAATCATTTCTTATTTATCATCAATTTTACATTTCATTTTTATATTATTAAAATTAAGATTATGGATTTAATTAGTACAATTAAATGATGAGAAAAATATATCTTAAATATAGGATTTAATAAGAGAATATACCTTAGATATGAAATTTAATGAGAAATAATAGGAAAATAGTTTTACTTCCAATTGGTTTAAATTTTACATTTCATTTCCATTAATATAATAATATTATATGTAATATATGTAAAACATAACTATGATATATGTAAAATATAACTACACTATTTATTGATAAAATATGTATTTTTGCACACACACATAGTGTTGACGCAGAGTGGTTTGACTCGTTTGACCTTGACAGTCGAACTGGTGACCTATGACCCGAAGGCAAAAGTGATTCGACCTCCAGGTATGTTTTTAAAATATTGTTTTATCATACTTATTATTGTTTAATATATAAAATATATGATGCTAAAAATGTTTCCATTTTTTTAATTTCTATATTCTTTTGCATTTTATATATTTTTTGAATTTTATTATTTAACTGTGGCAATATGGATTAGCCCATTTGACTCAATTGGTTTAATTTCTTACCACCACCTAGATAAAAAAACTATTTTTCCACATATATTTAAGTAGTATAAGTTTTTATGTTATTGAAGTTATTAATTTATTATGTATGTATTTAATTATAGAATTTAATGATGAGAAGAAACAAAGAAGCATTAAATATATGATTCAATGAAGGTGAATGCTAATTAATACCTTAAATGTTGGATTTAATGAGAGATAGTTGAATGCATTGAATATCTTAAAATTAACTCTTTTCAACTCATTTAATATCAATAACTATTTACCCTATTTGCCCTCATTTTTTTATCAATAAATATAAATATAGAGGGGTAAATTTTCTCATCACAAAATTCCATAAATATTCTTGAGACTATTCGTACTTTTTTAAAGTAGTATAGATAATGGCCAATGTGGAGCCACAACATGTATCTGATTTCTTTTCCTTTTTTTTTTGTATTATAGAGTAACAAAAGAACTACATACAGTAATGATTACTACATGAACGCCATTGGACTATACTAGTAGCCAGTAGGGGTGTTAATGAACCGGTTTTGGTTTGGATCCAATCCGATCCAAACCTTATCAAATTGGATCTGGACAATTCATTATAATTATTGAATTGGACAATTCAAAATAAATTGGTCCATATTCTTATTGGTTTGAATTGGACCTAAATTAAATTTCCAATAATCCGATAATGAGGCGAAACCCTTGTCCAATTTGAAATCAATCAAAACTGAAGTAAACATAAAATCGCTTTTATGAAATTACTTTTACAAAAATACTTACAAAAGCACTTTTATAAAAGTATTTTTACAAAAGCACTTTTATAAAAATACTTTTATGAAAGCACTTTTACAAAAGTAGTTTTATAAAAGTACTTTTATGAAAGCACTTTTATGGAAGTACTTTTATAAAAGCACTTTTATGGAAGTACTTTTATGAATGTAGTTTTATAAAAATACTTTTATGAAAGCATTTTTACAAAAGCACTTTTATGGAAGTACTTTTTTAAAAGCACTTTTACGAAAAATACTTTTTTAAAAGCACTTTTACAAAAATACTTTTATAAAAGCACTTTTACAAAAATACTTTTATAAAAGCACTTTTACGAAAATACTTTTATAAAAGCACTTTTATGAAAATACTTTTACAAAAATACTTTTATAAAATCACTTCCATGGAAGTACTTGTCTAAAAGTGCTTTTATAAAATCACTTTTATGAAAGTACTTATCATCAAAGCACTTTTATAAAAGTGCTTTTTCAATGTCAAAAGTGCTTTTATATAATTTTTGATATTTCATTCGGTTTAGATTGGATCTATTTTGATGGATTGGATTAGATTTAATTTGTATTGGATTTGGGCTGAATTGGGTCCAATCCATTTGTAAGTGGTCTAACATTGGACTGGATCGGATTGGACCAAATCTAGTCCAATTGACACCTCTATATACCAGGTATATCTCCCCATAAGACATATAGAAGCTCCAATGGACTATACAGAGGCATGTATCTGATTTATATAATATGGATGAATAACCTTGCCATTAAGATAGTGCCTGTATTAAGAACGATGACAATGGTGAGTTGGCAACCTTATTGTATTTTAGATTATTTTGTATGTATTTATACTGCTGAGCTTACTACTATCTATTAGACTTAGATCAAATGAGACGGTCAAGCTGGCTCTTCTGTGAACCGCCCGAGTCAAGCATATAAACTTTTGTCACACACAAAAAAAAAAGATGAGGGTTTTTCAATAACCACCTTACCAAAACTTAAGACTAGACTTGGCAATTGGGTTGGGTGGGTTAGGTTTGGGTTGGGTTAAAAATACTTCGGATTGATTTCGGGTTGGGTTGTCAAATGCTAGACCCTGACCTTAAATGTTTGGTTTAGGGTTAACCCATGGGTTAATAATTGAAATTTTTAAAAATATAGAAAAAATACATGAAAATGCCAAAATTAAAGGAATTAACCTTAAAATTCCAAAAATAAAATAAAAAAAACTTTAACGTTTAATAATTCAAAGAGTAAACAATAAAGAGTAAAGACTAAATAGTAAAGATTAAATAGTGAAAACTTCTAACAATGCATAAATAATCTCAATTAGACCTAACAATTGGGTCAACGGGTTGACCCATAATCCAATCCAACCCAACCCATTTCTCTCTAGGTCAGGTCGCATCAAGTCATTCTCAAATTCAGATAGCTAAATATGAGACCCTAACCATGTTTTTTCGGGTTGGGTCAACTTTTTGCCAGGTCTACTTACGACAAATTAATAAAATAATTGAACATTGTATATTTATATTTTTTAATATTCATATAAACTTATGTACCTAGCGTTTAATAATTTATATTAAAAATGCAAATAAGGTGACTTTAACCTAGGTGAGCAACAAGCACTTTTGTACCTCAGCAGATTCAGTATCATCTGTTACTTCATATGGAAAGCAAGGAACAAATGCATATTAAAAAATAGACAAACCGGATCCATATCATGTCATACAGATGGCATCCCAATTCCCCCTAAGACACATCAGCCAGCATAGGCAAAGTCATCGCACCATCTCACTATCACAGTCCATGCCAACCTTACATGTCGATGGCTCCTTTGATCCTAATATAGGATATGCAGGATGAGGGTTCATCATCCAACATGCGCAGCGTCAACTCTATATTGCAGAAGGGAAGCCTAGCTGGGCCATCAGCAGCTATGATGCCGAAACAAGAGCTTTCTTAGGAGGGCTGCAAGCAACACAATCACATGGTATTACCCATCTTTTGATTTTCTTAGATAGCTCAGCCTTAATGGAGTTTGCTACCATAGATAAACCAATCCAATGGTCTGATCATCTCCACCAAAACTGTTTACAAAGACTGATTTCATCTTTTAAAGTTATTGAGTTTGTACATATAAGTAGAAATAACAATCAAGCGGCCCATCTTTTTGCTTACATTTCATGTAAGGGCCACTTATCACTACACTACAATGGAGCTAACTCCCCATTTAAGACTCGTATAACTAATTCAAGGCTGCTTCTTTTGACAAAAAAAATGTATAAAAGACAATAATAAGATGGATGGAAAAAGAAAGCAAAAGTCCTCTACAGATTAAAATTAATTAACTAGAAATGATGTTGCATGTATATGACAGAAATGATACGGAGGAGCCAAAAATATGAGAAGGGACCAATAGATATATACAAGTTTATTTTTTATCAAGGTTGCGTTTGGTGGGGCTTAAAATAAATACTTATTGTGTTTTAGAAGGGATCATTTTATCATATATCATGGTATTCTTTACCACTTACGAGTAATACGAAAACCCATTAGACACATAAACAATCACCCCATCACATTATTTTAGAAAAAAAAAGGGGTAGCCCATGAATTTATCATACTATTACTAAATATCATGGTTTAGAAAAACGATCTGAAAATGGAATCGTTATGGCCATTGATTTCCGGGTTGACGGTTTAATCATCTGGTTCGAATGGATGGCCTGTTATGATAAAAAAAAAGCTAAAAATAAAAAATGGTCAAAAACCATTGAATGAATCGACAGGTCGACGGTTTGATCACCTAGATCAACAGGTTGTTGACTTTTTCAATGATTTTTGGCCAAAGACTATGTTTGTGGTAAAACAAAACCGGATGCCTAAACGATTCCTAGACCAAGCGGTCTGACCATCTGAATCAACGGCGGTTCGAAAACCATACTAAATATTAATAGGGCACCCCATCCATTTATCATATTATTGCTGAAAATAATATGATGGCCCATCAATCTATCATGTTATTAAACAAAATAGTAGGGCAATCAATTAATCGTCACTTTATAATCCATTACAATCTAGTTGAAAAAAAAGGATAATCAACCAATTTATCAAATTATTCTTGCATAACAATAGGATATGGATATCCCATCAACCTATCACATTATTCTTGATAGAATAATAGAATAACTCATCAGTTTAACATATTCCTATTGAAATATAATAGGATAACTCGTGATGTTAATATATTTTTTTACTATAAACCATGATGTTTGTGTTTTCTTATACCAAGTGTTTGTTTGTATGTTTGAGATAATGGGCGATGGGATAAGGTAGAAACTCTTCTACCTGTGAATGGTATCTCTCTACCATCATGATATGACCCACATTATATTTAGACACAAATTGTTTTTAAATAAACAGAATTATTTTCTTGATTCTAGAGGACAAATGTATCAATGGCTGTATTTGGTTTGAAAGAAAAATTAAGGAAAAGAAAGGAAAAAAAAGATGGGGAAACCTATACAAATTTTGGTTATACATAGGAGTTTAGGCTCAAAAAGACCGTATGGCAGCAATTATAGAGTTAGCAACACGTTTGGATGCCAAGAAATTCTCTTAATGGGCTCAAATGGGCTAAAAAATGAAGTTTTTTGTTCTAGGTTTATTTATAGATGATATAGTGAAAACTTGTATTTCTAATGAAAAAAGCACTTTTTTTTTTGTTACCAAGCAAATCTGTTGTAAATGGAAAAAGCTACTTGGAAAAGCACCTCACCAAGCACTCAATAAGTACTTTTTTAAGAAGCACTTCTTAACTCTTATGAAGCCCATTTTAGAGGGGAAAACCAACCATTGGCCATTGCTAAGCGCAATCTAAGTTTTCTCGACCTTAATAGTTATTAGTTAGAGTAATGACAGCAATGACAAAGAAAAAAATCATCCAATTAGGCCTAGGGGGCATTTAACAACATAATTGATTTTGTTTTTGAACAACTCAATAACTGACTACTTCTCGACATCTCTTAATTGAACACAAAGATGGATTACTTTGATTATTGTTACATTTTACCTTAATCCGTTATTTAATATCAATATCCGATTAGTTTAATTGTAGGCTCTTCGTGGCACGGCCAATGGACCTTACATGCAGCATTCTGCGTAGACCCCACCCCTTAATCCCTCTCTGTGATGTGGTGTAATATGTAATACCGAAAGACATGATCTATTTGTGTAATTTAAAAAGTGATGCTATAGTTCTTTTAGGCTTATAGTTAGAAATATGATGTGACAACTCGTTTAAAGTGTTTTGGTGGAATGTGTCATGTCTGTGGGCGTTGTTACAATACGGAACTTCTGATTTCTCTAACACTTATATATATAAATCTGAGGCATTTGCGTTGCTATTCTTTTATGAAACATACATTGTGTATAAGCAATGGTTATGGTACATCCTATCTCGTAAAGGACTCCCGATTTGTTTTTCACAGAATGCGCCTTATACCCACTCCGGATCTATTCATTACGGAACGTCTCATGTTTGTGTTTAGGGTTTCTAGCATATATAAGGGCAATTTTTTGCCTTTATATCAATGAAAAATAATATTTTTATATAATAATTAAAATGGGATAGTTTTTTTGGAATAATATCAAGAAAGGGCAGTGGACACTATTGCGTGTCTTTCTCATCCGCCTTTGTATTTATGCGAATGGATCATAACATTTCAGTCAAATAATAACTGAAATTGCAAAAAGCAATTTCACGTCCCAAAAAGCAAACAGGTGGCCACATTTGAGGCTTTGACTTATTTAACGATCTCTGACAAGGTGTAAAGGAATTCATTGTTGTATTGGTGGCACCATTGTAAGATGTACGGAGGAAGGTGAAGACGAATGTAGGCCAATTCCTTTTGCTTCATTGTAGTTTCATATATATATATATAGAAAGAGAGAGAGAGTTCGGGTTTGAGGTTGGCTGAAATCGTGAAGTTATTGACGTCACTTTGACTAAAGAAGCACGAAGACATTTCAATGTGCCACCTATAATTTTACATAACATGGTTTCTCTTGAGGATATGGTCATAGTTGCCGCTGGTGACCTTAACCTACCGCGGCAATTTAGATGGATGTGGTGATGAAAAAATCATGTTCCATTCACATGAATGCAGAGAGCCGGAGGAGGAAGATGAACAAAAGTGCTCAATGCCATCTCTTGATATTTTTTTCCCAAAAAGCTATCATATTTTAATTATTATATTAAAATATTATTTTTATTGATATTAAGGGCCAAAAGTTGCCCTTTATCTGTCAGAAACCCTTGTATTTATCATCAAAAATATTTATATTCATATGTTGTCGATCAGCCCAGTTTGAAAGGAGTATAAATACATATACAAATACGTGGACCGTAGAACTTTGCATTTTGTATATATTTACACTGCACATTTGTACCTGTATTTATGCGCTTTCCAAACTGGGTTGATGACAAGGCCTTTCAGAGAAAATCCGATTAAACGGGTTCGGGATCCACCATTTAACTACCATTACGAACCCCATGATCCGGATAAAAAGATCCAATCCAGTTCCGTTTTTGTTTTCCTCTCTCAAAAATCAAAACATTGGCATTGAAGATTTTTTTGATGGATCATTTGGCATACTGAAGATCGAAGAGCAACGATGAATATAGAAGGATTAAATAATAAGGGAAGCATAAGATTCCTTTTTTTGTCTTTTATAAGTAAAAAAAAAAAAATCTTCTGTCACTGTCAGGACTAAAGACGGAGGTAATCTAATGATAGAGGGGTTCCGATGGATATAACATGTGACAACACGTGGCAAAAGATGCATAAAAAGTCTTCAAAGCATATAAGATTAGTGCTGGAATTAACAAAAAAAAGGGAGATAGAGAGATCCATTTGATCGACAAACTCGTGGTGGGCCACGTGCGTCATGGGACTCGGAGGATTTTAGGCTGCAAAGCGCAGGTGAAGTTGATTACTGAATACTGATTTGATCTTACGTCCACCATACGATTATAAATACATATATTTTTTATATTCTAAAGATAAAAAAGGAAAGCAAGTAAAGGCTCAGGCCTCAAAGCAAAAGCATATCGTACAATTTGCCCACATGCATTTATATCGCGGGCGCACATTCAAAAATACCCCCGAGCCCCCGACTCCATTTCACGGATCCTTCCAAGCTTGTCGTCCCTTTGTGCACTAATCATTTTTGTTGCCTAAAATCTCCAAAAACACCACCTCCCATCAACCGTCTCACAGCTTCAGCTACGTTGAATATCAAGGATATTCCCGTCATTCTGGCGGGATATTTCAATCATTCCGTTTCTCGAACCAAAGACCAACCGGGTCCAGTGGGGGTGGGTGGGGCCTGGTGGGACAGGGAGGAGGGTTGTGGGGTCCATCGCAAAAATTTCTCTTGCCCAACGTACAATGCCTCCCCCACACGATCATTATAACTGTACTCCAAATGGCGCACGTTAGCTGTCTCTACAATCATTACGGTTGCAACCAGGACCGTACATAAAAGTTGGGCCAAAGCTTAACCTACGCCCCTCTCTACTCTCTCTCTCTCTTTACCCGCCTCTTATCGGTCCGAACAGACTATAAGTCTTTCCCCTCTCTTTGTATTTTCAAACTAGACTGTTGCATACTGATCAGCGAATTTAATGGATCTGTTGCAGTCTGCAAGTTTAATTGCTCTGAACTGTTTATACAGCTAGATATAACTGTCCTCTCTCTCTTTCTCTCTCATTTGGTTGATCGTTTGATCCACTTACTGTTCGAACCTTATCGTTCTTATGTCATTTCGGAAAAGTTTCGGAAGGCTCACCCTGTCGACCTCCGATCGGGTGCTGTTTTTCTCCGCTGAGTGGACTGATTTAACCTCCTCTTTCCTCCAATCTAGGGTTTATCTACACCGATGGAAATGCCCGAGGGTTCGGCACCCTTCGGCTTCGGCGTTTCGATAGAGATTCCGATGAAATGAGACGGATTCATCGTGGTCTTAGTGCTGTTTCTCCAATTTTGTTATACGTATATTTCTGTTTTTGCCATCCTTCTTTTGACGATTGAGTTGTTTTGTTGATTGAGTTGAGTTTGTTGAGATGAATCCTCTGTGTTGCATTGCTCCCGTTTCGATCGATCGAGACCGGAGTAACCCTGGGGTAGCCAAATCTGCCATACAGATTCCGTTAGGGCATGACAACTCTGTTACAAGTGTGGGAATTGGTTCAAACAAGCAGTGTTTTTCGGCTCAGGATTCGTCGGTTGGTACTGATCTGGACTGCGGAGTGTCTCCTGCTACTACTGTTGTTACTGCTGTTGGGAATCATGAGTTCGAAGAGACGACTGTAGAAGGCAGAGATTCCAAGGCTTGCTGTGGTAATGGTGCCGTGAATGGCAGTGTAGCCGGGATTCTCTACAAGTGGGTGAATTACGGCAAGGGTTGGAGGTCTCGATGGTTCGTGCTTGAGGACGGGGTTCTTTCTTATTATAAGGTGCACGGGCCGGACAAGATTTTGATGAGTCCTGCAAGAGAGAAGGGTGTTAAGGTGATTGGAGACTATTCATTGAGGTATATGAGAAAGGCCAGCTGTGGCAATGGCCTACGTGGGTCTGCCAAGCGGTGGAAGCCCTTCGGAGAGATACATTTGAAGGTTCGATTCCTTCCTTTGCTCCCCGGGGTTTAGTTGAATGGTTGTGTTATTCGTTTAGTTTCTAGCAAGTGCAGGGTGATACTAATAAGTAATAACAAATTTTATTTGCACAACCATGGATCATGGCTGCCCTATCTTCCTCACATAGAATAAAGAGAACTAGTTCTACGAGTATGTACTTGGGCACTTGTGATTTAACGGCGAGGATTCAAGACCTCTTTCTCCCCCTCTGTATGTTTTCTTTGTTCCACTGGAACTCCTACATCATGTGCAAAATCTCTCTGCATCAATATGCAAATAAGGGGATCATTCTTTACTTGAGGTGTTATGAGGTCCTCTTTACTGTTAAAAACCCCAAAAGTAATTATTTCCAAGAACCTAGAGGAGGGGGATGGACATTAGGTGATCAGTTGCCCCGAATCGGTAATTTTGTTGAAATCAAACCAGAGGAGTGTGCTAGAAATACTCATACAACATGGACGTGCATTTTTTATACGCAACAAACATCACTTCACAAATGCATGAGCATAATTCTTATATACATGAAATTATTTAATAATATCTGGAAATGCCTCTGATCAGAATGAAAGAAATAGAGGACAAGGTGGTTTGTCAGCTTAAATGTCTCCAAATCCTGCATTATATTTATCAAGTAAAACAATTAAGGGAAACACTAAATCAGAGCTTTGATGATGGGTCTGAGAATGGTTAGATCTCTGCAGCTGAACTCTGTTCTCATTGAGGGGGATTCCAGAAATGTTATTAATTGGGCTTCCCACCCAGAAAAGGGCCCTTGGAGGTTGGGTCATTTCCTCAATGAGATCTCAGAAATAACCTCTTCTTTGCATTGCAGCTTTAGATGGATTCCAAGGGAGCTGAACTCAATTGCGGATCTTTTGGCTAAATCTGGGGTGGACCAAATTTTTTGGTATAGTGCTAATAGTTTGCCCCCTTAAGTGGGGTGATTTTATAGTTGTGAGATCTTGATGGTTTTGTACATCTTCTCATGTACACCCCCCTTTGCCCCTTTTTGAATATAATAGTTATCCTTTCTCAAAAAAAAAGGGGAAACACTAAATCACTCTGATCAAAACTGTTTGGCAGGTGCTTTTGCTTTTGTTTAGCTATGGCTTTCTAATTACTTGTGAAAGATCAACCTAGTCTAACACATAAATGAACTCCTAGCTTCCTCAAATATCTATAGTTCTGAATTTTCTATATGCTCATGGGAGATGGAGAATGGGACCTATATATATGATCAGCTATATTCTTTCCATATATTTACATAAATTTTCTTTGATATCAATTACTTACGCTATCATATGTTTATGTGGTCAGTATGTCTTAAATGATATTGCATGCAGGTTTCATCAATTCGTGCGAGCAAATCAGATGATAAAAGACTTTCCATATTCACGGGCACTAAGACTCTCCATTTGCGATGTGTATCGAGAGAAGACAGGGCATCATGGATTGATGCATTACTGTCTGCTAAAGATCTTTTTCCCAGGACGCTCACAAGCAGTGATTTTCCACCCTTGGATGACATTGTGGTATCAATGGACAAGCTAAGGTCACGGTTACTGCAGGAAGGACTGAGTGAAACAGTTATTAAAGATTGTGAATCTATTATGCTCTTGGAACTCTCTGAATTGCAGAACCAATTGAAGGCTCTTCAATGCAAACATATTGCTCTGCTTGATACATTGAGGCAGTTAGAGGTATTTCTTTCTATGAGCTTCTTTCCAGTATGCTTAAAGGAATGTGACATGTACTTTCTTAAACTAACAAAAAATTTGGAATTTTTAGGAAAAAAAAGAGAAAAGACCACTTTGAGGGGGTCAACCTCGTTAAACACTTTGATGATGTTTGGCCTCTTAAAACAGAAATTTTCTTCATTCATAAGTCAACTTAACTCAACAATGCAATCAATTTATTTATAAGAAAATAATACAATAATTTATAGAATACAAGAAACTGAAACAACTTTTATACTAATCCACTAACTACTAGATATATAACACAATAGAACCAAAGAATGTAGAGAGGCATAACAATGTTGCAAAGTGTTTTTTTTTTTCCTCTTAACAATTAAAAATTAAAACTTCAAAATGATTTTCTCACGAGGAACTGCTGAAGTGTTTTACTCATTCAGATTTCATTAAAACTGATATTTCACTTTCTTAGCTTAAATCTTCTTATCATTTTGTATATCATGACCTCTAAACTCATTTGTTCATGTTTTTCTACCTGTCACAGTATTATTATTTTTTTAATTTAATATTATTGCCAAACTATAGTTGTATATCTTCAATGAGAAAAATTCTACTGAAAGCAATGCCAAGTTCTTCACCAAGTTGTTGGGTGAGCTGTATTCTTTCTGTTTTGAGTGGTAAATTCATAATATGTTATTTCCAACTTGTTTCAAATTACAATATAAATTTTCCAATCGCTTTGTTTTTTTTTTTTTTTTTGAAAAGTAAGCTATTGTAGTAATATGTCAAAAAGATAACAAAAAGACAGCCATGTACATCCCTTCTATACAGATGCTATACAATCTGTGAGCAAAGTTCTACTTCAAAATTTTGTAGATGGTAGTTTTAAATATCTGTTGGATGGCAAGGTATGGATGCTATATGACCCTCTAAATGTTTACAATGGGAGTAGTTATTTTGACTGGTGTTGAAATTTTTTTCCTAATTCCTATATGGATTCAATTATTTATTTGTGAACATCAACTAGATATTCACGAGCTATTATTTCAGTAGGTACTTGCATTCCATGTAAAGTCTGAGGATGCTCTTTTGCATGGTAAACTTTTTATGTTATTTATAGTCTCCAAATAATGACTTAACTGAGAAGATCTCGTGCTTATTGGAATTGATTGAGGGTAGCTTTATATTTTCGTGCTCCCATATTTTAAGAGTCCACACCAATTCTTTCCACATTTGTCTATATGTGGTTTTTCCTTGTCTTTAATCCTGCTTGGACAGGCTATAGAAGATAAATAAATCACATAGAGAGAATAATTTAACCAAATTATCCTTGCCTTTTTTTTCCAGACAGAGAAAGTAGAACTGGAAACAACTGTTGTGGATGAAACAAAGGAGCGTAAGTCATATTCTGGACAAGGGAATGGAAGATTTAGTGGTTTGTAATGCTTTTAAATTTCCCTTGATTTCAAATTTGTTTTAAGTTTCTATGTATTGGCATGTATGGACATTATTTGTATTTGCTTGATGACATATATAAGGATATAATTTGGTCATCTCATAATTTAATTGATCTTATCATCTTATGATTTGTTTATCTCAACTTTCTTATCTGTTACTTACTTACTCATACATTCAATATCTTTGCAACTCTGATTTCTCTCACAAATATTGTTCTCAGGAGTAGAGTTTGCTTCATAGTGAACATAATGTTTTATTTCAATAAAGTATCTATATGTCCCAACCAAACACCGGACAGGACAGTTTTACCTGGGGGCCATATTGGAAAACCTGGAAGTTGAATTGACTCACACCACCTTTAGGATATAACTTGGTTGAGTTTACTTGCAGTGCAGGGGCAATTCAAGTATTCTTTTTTGTTTTTAATTTTATTATATAATCAGCTAAGAAAAAATACAATATACTAAAACGTGAAAATGGAAAAGAAGTCAGAAGCATGTTCTTTTTTATGCAGTTCTTGGGTCTTGATCATGTTTGTCTATATTTTGTTCAGGCATCCAGTTGAATATTTTTCACTTATTCCTCTATTAGTAAATCACAACAAACCTACAAACTTTGACTAACACTAGTGCATAATGTAAGAAAAGAGAAGGAATGAGGAAGGAAAAGGAACTAAATCTTATAGTGGTAGACAAATCTTGTCACATTGCACTCATTTAGGTGGATAAAGATCAATGTTCAGTCATTGCACATTTGGTGCACTTTCTTAATAGGCACTTCACATGGCCGAGGAACTTTCGTGTGGACATGGCCACTCAAATTCATTTTTTTCTCACTCAGGGTGGCCAATTTAGAAATCCTAATCATTGGCAGCTGAGGTGAGGTGAGAGAATAAAGGTTTAGGACTGGTGGAGCCTGGAGGAGGACAGAAGATCATTAATAAGACCTGTCCAACCTAGTGTGGCTACTGAATGAATTAAGCAGTGAATTTGAAGTTATCCTGACTGTCTCATAGAATCTTTGAGGCCTTGTCATATTCATTGTAACTTTTGACTCAACCATTATTAAGAAGTGAACCAGTTAGGTTCTGACTGTATAAAAAATAATGATTTTCTGTCCTATCAAAACTAGAAAAATTCTTTCTTTGCTACTGAAAGTTCCAATGATTCTCTAAACATCACATTCTTCAGAAGTACCTTTTGATTATAAGGAATATGATTTCTTGCTTTCTGAAGGTTAAAATGTTATTTTTTTAGCAATTTGAACAACTTGTGAATAGCTGTATTTATTTCCTGTAAGTCTTATCTTTCTTGTTTTCTTCTATTGTCTCAGATTTCTATTCCATCATGTCTGAGGGTAGTGGAAGTGATTCTGATGCAGATAATGAAAGTCAAGATGGAGTGGATATTGAAACTGATGAAGATGATGGAATATTTTTTGATACAAGGGACTTTTTGTCTTCAGAGTCTCTAAGAAGTGCTTCCTACCGCAGTAGGGAGTCTATGGGAAAGGCCTGTAGTGGTGGTATGGAGATCAAGACTATAGAATACCCCTATGTCAAAAGAAGGAATAAGTTGCCTGAACCAAAAGAGAAAGAAAAACCAGTTGGTCTATGGTCAATAATCAAAGAAAATATTGGAAAAGACCTATCAGGAGTTTGCCTCCCTGTTTACTTCAATGAGCCACTTTCTTCGTTGCAGAAATGCTTTGAAGACATGGAGTATTCATATTTGGTTGATCGAGCACTGGAATGGGGCAAGCAGGTCAGGTCCTCCGCTATGCTTTGATTTGTGGCAAAGCAGTTCCTTAAAGCATGATCTGCTTGTTTCATTTTTACCCAGGTAGTTGGTATGTCAGCCTTAGCATTAAGGCGTACATGTTATGTCAAGAATAATCTTTCTCATTTGTTCAAGCTTTCTCTGAACTTGTCTATCTTGTCATCCAAACATAGGTTATTCCCTGAACTTTATAAATGATTTTCTTTTCTTTGTTTCATATTAGTACTGGGCCCACTTTTAAGTTATGTCATCCAGTTTAGCGATTTTTACTGTCAAAGCCCACTTTTTTTTTTTTTTTTGTCTTAGATCTTTGCTGTGTTTGACTTTGTTTGTCCACATGTAAATGTCCTATTGCAAGTCTGAGTTGTATATTTTTATGGGTTTTCCAAGTGCATGTATTGTGTTAGGACTTGAACAGCAATGCATCCCCCAGTGCCCAAGCTCAAGTGCCTTAATAGTTTAAACATACTGGCATCCCTGGCTGGGATCAATTGTCTTTAGCCTTAAGCTGGGGCGTTGTACAGTCAAAACTTTCATCTCTAGTGGTATTGTGGGAACACTGAGGCCCTTCGTGTTGTGACTTGCAAGCAACTCAAAGGTTCACTGCCCCCCCCCCCCCAAAAAAAAAAAAAATAATAATAATAAAAAATAAAAAGATTTTAGGCAGTGTATTGTTCATCAGAAAATAAGAGAAAACAAAAAGTTGAAGAGAAATAGGTGTTGCAAGCTTCTTTATGTCTCAAAGTTGTGAATGAAACCCAGCCTAAACTTGAATTTGGGCTAGAAATTGAGATTGAGTCGTATTCATTCTGCTGACAACTTTGTCCAGTGGGCCTTGGAGTTTGGTTCATTTTTTTGGCAGAAGCTAGAGACATACTGGACTCAATGCAGGTTAAGCTGAACTGGGTTCCCAGGGAATTGAAACACTGTAGCAGACGGGTTAGCTAAATCTGGTGCTCATAGAGATATTTATTTAGTGACAGTGCTCTGCTTTTGTAATCTTTTTCTTTGTTTTGCTCTTGATGTACATCTTCACATGTACCTCCTTTTCTTAATATAATCTCAGTTACTTTTTGCTCAAAATAAAATAAAAAGAACTTTGTCCAGTGGCCCACCCTGCCAGCTATTTAGGCTGTGCTGACAGGGTTTAACACCCTCCATTTGTACCAGATAATGGTATATTAGAACTTAGAAGTGCCATTGACACAAACAAGGTCATCTTTGACACATTCCCTGACCATAAAATCACCATGATTTCTGCCATCTTTTCCTGGAACTCATTTTGCTCCTTTTGCTTTCAAAATCTATAATCTTCCTGCTTCTCTGAAGTTGTTGAGGTATTGATGACCATGGTTTTCAAGGCGCCAAAGTGAGGCTAGGCAACAGGGGGGCACCTTCTCACCTAGTTGCCAGGTGGACACCTAAGCTAGGCATCATTTAGGCAATGGATTTTTTTTTAAATAATACCATGAATCCTAAGGTAATTCCCCTAGGTTCCATAGAAACCACCAACCATCTTTTACTAGTAGTTATCATCTATTCATGAGAATAAAAAAAGAAAAGAAAATTCAGTAAATATAGGGGCTAAGCCAATGTTTTTGTCCTAGGGGCTAAGTTCTTCCTTGCTTATCAGTTTAAGCATGGTTCAAAGTATTGGTACACTCGATTCTGAAAAATTCAGTATTGAGCAAATAAAAATTGTTGATACCCTATGGTAGCTTAAATTTCAGTCAATGCCTTTTTGTCCATTATTATTGCACATCTATTACTATTGTTTAAAACTGACACATTGCTTAAACCCTAACAAATAAGAAAATAATAAAAAGAAATTAGTATATAAAACCAAAAAATTAATAATTTAGTTTAATTATATTTATTTTATTTTATTATTTTTTTGTCTCTTTGATCTTACTGAAATACTTTACCTTATACTTTCAAAAATTATATCTATTATAATCCCCAAAAGCATAAATAATTATAAAAATATTTCGTAACACCATTTACAAAATAGCTAGGTGCTTAAGTGAGGCGACCCTCCATGGGTGCCTTGTTGCCTAGGTGTTGCCTTGACAACTATGTTGGGGACCATTCTCAGGTTAGTTTTTTTGTTGCTTTTTTCTATCTCAAGTCATCTATGTTGGTTATAGGTCCCTTATTTTAGTTGGCACATACATGGGGAGTTCATGAAACTTTATGTATTCCAGATTGCCATTATTGGGCCTCAACCGTAGCATGATTGCTGTTTGGTGGTGTTGGTACTGATGTGGTGGAGACTGCTTTGTCCATTAATCTTGTCATGCAAATCTCTATAAAATTGCCATTTACAGCGTTCAAAAGTACAGCTGCAAATGGATCAGATTTGAATTGATCTGTTACAATTAAAATTCAGATCAAATCTTATCTGTCATATTCATACTGTACTCTGTACTTGGTTCTTTGGATCATTAATAAATTAAATTAAAAATTATCAAAATATTATATATTATTAATAAAGCACTAGAAATGTCTGATATTGTATTCTATGAGACTTTAACCTATGACTCTTCAGTAAACATAGAACATTTAAACCACCTTTACTAATAGGTAAACATTAATTATTCACATACAGACACTAATTTTATAAATGAGTGCATATTATTAGATTGGATTTGGACAAATGGTTAGTGTGTGCAGCCCTATTCGACATCTATTTGGTGTCAGTATCTGTGAGTCTATATGATGGATGTTTAAACTTTGGAATGTGATCTTTTTTAAGGTAGATCGAATCTCTTTCTTTCATATAATACCATATGCAGATATAGGTTTTCTTAGAATGCTTTTGTTTATGGTTTAAAAACCTGAAATTACTCAAAAATGAGAAAATGGTGTGGTCAATCAATGTCTAGAGGGTATATAATCACTTTTTCTAGCATTCACCCAAGTGACTCAAAAATATTCTACCCTATTTGTTTAGCCACCTTTTATTTTTCTTTTATTCGCTTCTAGCCACCTTTCATTTTTCAAACCCTGCTTTGCTTTATCCATTCAATTGATAGCAACATTTCAAAGAATTAATGTTTGGCTAATGTTGAGTTGGAAATAATAGTATTTTCTTGGTGGGTCTTACATTGCATGGAATCAACTGAGCTATGTTTGAGCTTATGGTTGAATATGGGGGTTTGTATATGGTGCAGGGGAATAGCTTGATGAGAATTTTAAATATTGCAGCCTTTGCTGTATCTGGATATTCTTCAACAGAAGGTCGACAGTGCAAGCCTTTCAATCCTCTACTAGGGGAAACATATGAGGCTGACTATCCAGATAAAGGGCTCCATTTCTTCTCTGAAAAGGTTATATGTCACTGTTCTTTTTAAAGGATTTGGTTTTATTAACAGTAAATTTCTCCCTTCTGTGCCATATTGGTTTTGCAGGTGAGCATGGATCTATCATTTGTTTATGCTGTATGGTAGAAAGATGAAGATGGAACTCTTCTTTCCCTGTTTTTTTTTTTTTTTTTTTTTCTATTTTACTGTATTCCTTAATATATACCCTCAGGAATCAAGAAGCCACACTAGTTTTTGACAAAAAATGCAAATACTTAGCTTTCTAATTTCTATAATTAGCCAGAGCAAGACATTTTTGTAGTAAACTTCTAGCCTGTAACTAGTGGCTCTGATTCAGGTGAGCCACCACCCAATGATTGTTGCTTGTCACTGTGATGGGAGGGGCTGGAAATTCTGGGCAGACTCTAATCTGAAAGGCAAGTTTTGGGGGCGTTCGATACAGCTTGATCCTGTTGGGGTTCTCACCCTTCAGTTTGAAGATGGAGAGACATTCCAGTGGAGCAAGGTCACCACTTCTATCTACAATATTATACTGGGTAAAATCTACTGTGACCATTATGGCACCATGTGTATCAAAGGCAGTGGCAATTACTCCTGCAAGCTCAAGTTCAAGGAACAGTCTATCATTGATCGAAATCCCCACCAGGTACTATTTTAGATGTTCCATAGCCTCTTTTTGTCAGGACGATAGATTATAGGCCGAGAAATCCTTTTTTTGAGTGTTCTGCTAGTTCTGTCCTTTTTCTTTTATCTTACTTTATATGTGAAGAAACCCTAATTGTTTTTAATGTGCTTATTCTCTAAAAGCAATCCCTAGCCATTGTACTATACAAAATACTGATAAATTATCATCTAGACCTGAAGTACTTGCCCTTTTCCTCGAATCCTAGTATTAGTATCCTACCATTCTAAACATAAAAATTTCCACCCACCACTTGAATTGGAAAGTGTGGATTCCTGAGATGAGGAAACCCTCTTATTTTTCTCAATGAAATTCCATAAATTCATATGGTAAGGGAGTTCGTCAGGTTGTCTAAAAAGATAGTGGATTTATTATTGATAACTAGGACTGCCAAACAAGTCAAACTGTATACTCAAAGATCAGGTGCTTGTAGAAAGATGATTGGCTATGCGAGTGATTTACTAAAGTTGGCACTATTAGTGCTTTCTTTCTTTTTATCAGTAACTCAAAAGAAATTTATTAAAAATATGAGAAAGTAAAAAAACAAGTTGTGGAATAAACAAATAGACTTGACAGAGTCAAAATCCCCCATAGATAGATTGTCTCTGAGCCCCTTGCTTAGCTAGACCATCCACCAAGATGTTAGCAGACCATCCACTTCAATAATTAACCTTTCAAAACCCAATTCTTTGGCTTTCTCAACTCCAAAAATTATCAGTGCTTTCTTTGGCATATCCCTGCACGCCGTGCTCTATTGAGTATTGAGAACCCAGGATCTAAAGCAAGAGGACTTTTGGATGGTTATGGGGATAAGGTTACTCTGGTCTGTTGATCATTGGGTCTGAGGCCCAATTTGGTTTGGGACTCTGGTACTACTTCAAGGTCTCAGTTGATACCTTCCATAGTTTCATCTTTCAATAGAGTCAATGTGGAAGGTCTTTCCTAGATTGTTATTGGATAGGTGTAAATAAATCAGATGACCCTTGGACGCCATGCCATCATATTGGGGAAGCTAGATCTATGGTCATCAATGAACATGTACTTCAGATGGACCCCAATTATGGGTTTTACTATTTGAGAAGTTTGTTTTTTTCTTTTATTTTTATTTTCTTTAATTAGACTTGTATATCAGGTATCTTTGTTAAGGTTTTAGCAGTGGTATGTTTTCTCAACTATGGGAAATATGATTGTTATTTTTTTTTCTACTTTTCTCCTTTTCATTGATAAAGTTTACTTTTGTTGATCCACAAAAAGAAAATGGGAGGAAGATAACCCTTTTATCAAAGAGGAGATGATTTTCTTGGCTTGTAACTTGTTTGCATTGTCATCATAATTTTTTTCACACAAGTGGTAAATTCTCTTATTAGATCTGGTGTCCACTGGCTACACCTTCTCACTCCCCTCTTGTTGTCATGATATTGAAAAATAAATAAAAGAATATAAACATGCAGGTGCAAGGATTTGTTCAGGACAATAGAACTGGAAACAAGGTGGCAATGCTGGTGGGGAAATGGGATGAAGCAATGTACTATGTTCTGGGGGATCCCACTACAAAGCCAAAAGGGTATGATCCCATGTCGGAAGCTGTGCTGTTGTGGGAACGCGACAAATCTGTTACCCAGACTCGTTACAACCTTACACCTTTTGCAATTTCTTTGAATGAATTGACACCTGGCCTACTGGATAAGTTGCCTCCTACCGACTCAAGGCTCAGGCCAGATCAGAGGCATTTGGAGAATGGGGACTATGAGCTGGCAAATGCAGAGAAGCTCAGACTAGAGCAGTTACAGAGACAGGTATGCTCCAATGGATGCTTCTATTTCTTAACATTCACTAACTTAGGATGTCATTTCTATATACCTTGTACAAAATGAATGAAATGCAAGATACCTTTGGTCAACTTTTATTTGGTAGAGTGCTCTTTTGTCTTATAAAATCCATTATTTCTTTTATTTCCTTTCCATGGTAAACCAAACTTTTGGTTGAACATAAATGATTTACTTGAACTGCCTTTTGGGTTTTGGTCCAAGCAAGCCTATTAGTATCTTATCCTTTTGAAATTAATTATTTATTTTCAACTTATTTTTGATAATGCCTATGTTTTTTGTCCTCCTGCTCTCACCCACCAATGCAGGTGCTGGGACTATGTACTCTGTAGAAATTATTCTGATGTTAACTACTTGGCATTAGGAAACAAGGTTCCTAATGTGGCCCATTGCGAACCCTGCGGATTTGGCCCAAGTGTTATTGTGGTTTGCCCAGTCTTCAGCAATAGAGGCGTCATTGGAAAAACACATTCACCATTTCCACCATGTTGCCTTGGACATATTATCTTGATTGGGCATGGAAATCAATCTCAATATTTATTTTATATACTAGCATGATGAAGTTAGAAGCTTAAAAACATAGGGGATTTTTCTGTCTCTTTTGTGCAAAATAAGGCAATTTTCCCGAGGTTTGCCTTACTGCCATTTTTATTACCTTTTATCGTGACCAATGAAGCTAAAAACTGAAGGTTGCACTCAGTATCATGTTTCCTTTCCATGCATCCATATGCATACATTTCAGAATGAATTTCCTGATACTTGGATCGTCTAAGCTAAAGAGTAATTTCAACAAAATCATCCGTTTGTGATACAGGCAAGGAAGTTACAGGAGAGAGGATGGCAGCCAAGATGGTTCAAAAAGGACAAGGACGATGGCTGTTACCGTTACATTGGCGGTTATTGGGAAGCTAGGGAAAAGAGGCAATGGGATGGGATTCCAGATATATTTGGACAGAGCAGCCAAGGTTCTCCTTGTCCGGAGGAAAGATGAGATGAGATGAGGGCACATTTTGGTCAACTAACCTTTTATTCCCATACATGTATTTTACTTTTAGAGGGTGCCTAGTCGGTGGGATATACGGAGTTATCTTTTTGTAAGTTATTTAAGGAACAAGCCCCTTCCACGTAATCTATGTTAATGCTATATACATTTATTATTGGTTATTAATTTTGATTCGTTTTTTTTTTTAAACAATGCTTGCTTATCACTTTATCAGTTGTCGAGCATACCTTAAAAAAATCTGATGACATGGCCAATTTCCTACTTCCTAGACACGAAGAAGGTCGCTTGCAAGCTGCCCCTGGTCTAGACTCGATTTCTTTTAGAGCTTCGCTTCCATTTTTTTTTTATATCTAATTTAATTCAAGATAGTCACGTGGTCAGCTCTATTCTTACAGTTAGCATATTCCGTCAAAATTCATAGTCACGTAATATAGATTTTTGTTTTTAAACCCAATGTTACCCTTCATCTCTCTCCCTCTCCCTTCTTCCTTTCAGCGTGGCAAAACCGAGCTCTTCATAGTGGCCAATCGGATGAGATAACAGCGTTGTTAAACCTTCGGGGAAGAGGACGAATGGAAAAGGGCCATTGCACACACACCAACAATTAAATCCTCGGTTTAGTTGGGAGCTACCCTTGAATTTTTAAATCTGACTATGCGTCTCGGAATCAGATTAGGAGGTATTGTTCATATTATTAATCGGTAAAGAAGAAGAAGGAGAAGGAGGTGTTTTAGGGTTGGAAATATTAGGATCGGAGATTGCAGGAGAGGTGGAGTGGGAGCCAGCGGGGGAAGAGATAAGCAGCTGAAGGTGGAAGGCGCCATCTCTTTCACTACTTTCCAAGGATCGGCTGTGGTTGCCTAGGTTTTGGGGATTAGTCATGTGTTGTAATAGAGTAAACAACTCGCTTCCAAAGTGTCATCGTTCAGTTGTTCTATCGAGCAAGTGAGAATGCTATTTGCAGGGTGTATGGGATTGGAAGCCAAAGCCAAAGGCGTTGTCATTAATTAGATGACAAGGCCGTTCATTAAGCCCATAAGTAGATGATGCAGATATGAGAAGCTCATGCTTGTGCTTGGATTGGAAGCCAGAGCTAGAGGCCTTGTCAAGGAATAGAGTGAGAAGCTCCCTGTTATTGAGTATCTTTGCTCGACCATTGCCCCATGTGATGTTGAAGTCTTTGTAGAAATTACTTGCTGAAGCAGAAGCAATAGCTAAAGAGCTCAAAATCAAAAATAAAACAGAGATTTTAAGAAAATCCCATGAGAAGTAGGGGTATTCAAATTCGGATGGTAAATTGAAAATCGAGGGTGTCAATTTGGTTCGGTTTTTGTTTATTCAAAAAATCTGTTTTTGGTTTCGGTTTTGGTTCGATTTGATTGAGATTTTCAACTGAACTGAACCAAAAACCAAACTAATGGTTGTATCTAATTAAGCCTGTTAAATATATAATATTCTATTTAAAACTTTATACTTATTAATTAATAATTATTATTTTTTCCAATGACAAATTCGAAATTTCCCATTGTGTTTTACAGCTTTAGGCCTATGCTAGATTTTAATTAAATAATAATTAATTAATTGTTTAGAGAGTCTAAACAACTGAAGTGTTAAAACCTAGACTGATTATTAATTATTCATTAATTGTTTGTGAAAAATGGGGTACAGTTGTTTTAATAATTAGTCATTAAATTATTTCATTAAATGAGTGTAGCTGGAGATTTCTTAATAGTCAGCAAAATTGGTGGGCGCAATTATGAAAATCCAAATATCTAACGTGTAATATAAAATTTCCTTACAAAATTTCTCATTCTAGCTCTTATTTTTGAAAATCTTTAGCACTCAAATTGCAAAATCTTTTCTCAAAGATAGGATTTCTAGTCTCGATCTCTTCCACAGATAATATCACCCAAGTTCCTTGGGTTCAAGTGAATAACAGCTTTCAATTAATTAATCAACCTGTCCTTGATCATTTAATAAATACTAATTTCTCTGATCTCATAGTAAATGGTCATTGGAACGCTTCTTTAATCCAAAATCACTTTGACTCTCATTAGATCTCTCAAATTCTGAATACTTTCATTTTACCTGCAAATACTCGCATCCGTTGGATTTGGACTAAACACTCATTTGGGAAATTTAAAACTTCAGCTGCTTGTACTGCCTTAATTCAAGAATCTCTTCCTTTTCTTTTTTATCAAATCAAATTTTGTACTAAATGGATTTGGAAACTTTATTGTTCCCCTTGGTATTAGCTTCTTTTCTGGAGAATTATCTATAACTACATCCCTGTAAAGGCAAAAATCCTTCTTGACACTCAAGATTTATCATGTGTCTTTTGTCAACAGCAACTTGAAACTCTAAATCACCTCTTCATTGAATGTCCTTTTACAAAATCTATGCTCTTTGCCTCTCCCTGGAATATTAATATTATGGAAACAACTCCTTCATCTTGGATTGACTGTATCATTCACATTGAACACAAGAGTCCAGATAAAGATACTTTTCAATTAATGCTTTCTTGGTATGTTATTGCCTTATATTACATTTGGTATGCTAGAAATGAGAAAAATTTCAAAGACTCAAATATTTCTAATATTTGGGTTATTAGGAAAGATAATTATATTTTTCAGGCAATTTCAGACTCTCATCCACCGTCAGACCCAGATATAAACTTAGCACCTCAATTTTGTTTACAGCTTAAGCCTTATACTGATTGTCTCATTTTCATTGACACAGGGAAAATTAACCAATCTTTATTTTCTTATGGGATTATTATACTGAATATTCAATTACACTGAATTCAAATTTCAGGAAGGAAGAAATTACATTCTATAGATGAAGCTGAACTTTTTGTGATTCATCAAGGAGGTATTTTAATCCAGCAACTTGGAAAATCTCATCCTATGTTTTGTTCAAACTCTCAATTTGTGATCCAGGTTCTTCAAAATCAATCATCACTCTATTGGTCGTTTTTAGGACTGTTAATAGATACTCATAATCTACTTTCTGGTTTTAGTTCTTTTCAACTATTATATATATTAATAAGAGATATAATGTTCCTAGATAATGTCCAAAACTTTGTAATTTACTCTTTTTGTTAATATATATTTTGATTTATTTGTCATAAAAATTGTTTATAAATTATTAAAACCAAACCAAAAACCGAATCGACTGAATTCGGTTCAATTGAAAAAGAGATAATAAAACCGAATAATCAATTACCGAATCGAACTGACTGATTATACACCCGTAATGAGAAGCAGAAGAGGAAGAAAGCCATAAAAAAATTGTTGATCGTAGAGATTTTATTAATAGGACTTGAAGAATGAGCAACTGGTTGTAAGTTGTGAGTGAAGTGAGATTCTTTAATGCTAGATGGCCTTTTATAGGTGGTGGGATTTGTGGAGAGAAGGTTGGACTGTAGAGGGTTCGGGCTGTGTTCCTATGTTTTACGCGAGGTTGCGAACTGGCTATAGGCCTATAGCCCATATCATAGAAGTGAAAACTGAAAAGTGAATGAACAAACAATCCTCAGCTCTTGCACTTGAAAGTTCAAACATTTTTTAGTAGAAGATAACTGAGAGCTTTAATGAATGGCCTGGTGTCAGCTGTCTTTGTCACCGCCATTACAAACAGGGAGCTCGAAACTATAAATGGCCTGGTTGTCGACTTGTCTAATTAGTCAATTTCTTAAATCTTAAAAGATAGTTTTAAAAGTTGTCTTCTTATTTTTTTACATCTTTGTGAAGGATTACACAACCCCCTAACCTAGGTGTAGGTGGAATTGGATCCAAAAGCAGCCTATAAGCTTAGAAATGCAGGCTCATTAGATGTACTTAAAATCTCATGCATTTACACGATATACAATATGGTTTCGATATGAAAATTTTCTATAGGTGCATTTGGAAATGATGCAAATAAGTGTGAATGCAAATATATAGAGTGTAAAATGATTTATATGAATTGTAAAGTTGGGGTTAGTTTTACATAGGACAAATTTATTCTTATCAAACAGATTTTTAGCTGTAATTGATGCAAATACGAATTCCAATAAAACATATACCTTCTTTTATTAAAAGCCCACTTGAATGCAAATTTACTTTTTTTTATTGATTTACTTTTACATCTTATTATTAATGTACATATACATTGGAAAATGTGTTTTATGTCATTTGTCAATGCATAAATGTAATGTTGTCAAACATAGGCAAAAGTGAACCAAAGTGCAAATTTACCCTGAACTGGATTTAGAAGGGGTGAAAATGTGTTCTTTGAAGGCGAATTAACACTTGCGACTAGACTCCCCTATCTTTCAAATTTAGAACTTATCTTCTTAAGGCCCATTACTAGGGGTGCAAATCCAAACCGATCTGAAGTCCGATCGTATATTCTCGGATTCGATCAGAAATCAGATCGAATTCGGATCACCCCCTATCCAATTCTAGAATATCTGATCTGATATGTATTATTTATTTATTTATAAATATATTATTTATATTGTATTTTTATGAATTTGTTATATTAATTATTTTTTTATAAAAAACATGTATATATATATGATGAAAATAATTGAAAAGATACTTGTGCTTTTTGTTTTTCTTTATTTAAATTGTTATATTTTATTATTCTTTTAATAATTTATTAATTTTTTAAAAATCAAATCGGATTAGATCAAATCCGCAAATCTGACTTCCTCATTGGATTTGAGTTCAAATCTATGTTTACCAAATCCAATTAAATATGCAATTAATAGTATCAAATCGAATTTGGATATACCCCAATTTGAATCTGATCCATTTGTATCTCTAAACCCTTTTTTGGCATGACTCATTTTAGCAAACAAACTCACTCCAAGCCAAATACTTACAACTCAAAGCTGGAAAATAATTCTAAATCAAAATGCATTTTAAAATAATGAGAACTCCGTTTTACATAGCGAGTCCTTAGGCTCTGTTTGAAAAGAGTATAAATACAAAAAATGTATAGTACAAATACATATAAAATAATATAAAATATAAGATTTTACATTCTATATATTTGTATTTATACTTCTTCCAAACTTTTTGTTATGAGTATAAATACAAATATATGAAAGGCTCAAGATTGAAAGGAATACAAAAATGTGAAAATCTTATATTTTGTATGTATTTATAATCTTTTTAAGCTGAGCATATATATGATTGCAGTTTCTGTTCTATGGATTCATGGATTAATTTGATTTCATTTAGATACACCTTGTACTATTGTTTCTTTATTAAAAAAAAGTAGTTGTATGAATAATGACAAAGTCAGCATCTTAAAAAAAAATCGTCTGATTTAACTTTAATCAACCACGGTCCGGAATTTTCAAGGTCCCACTCCCACACCCATATATGACTTCTCTGTCCCTCTAAGAACATGATTAGACTATTGATTTTTGTATGTTTGACGGTTCACACATCTCCACTTGTCACATTGTCAGAGTACAAAACAAGAAGATATAGTTCTGCTGCTGACAAATGACCACCCTTTTACCTTCTTTGCTTGTCTTGTTTCTTATATTTACCATCAACCCCCTCCCAAAAAAAAAGAAAATAATAAATAAAGAAAATGCAAAAGCCCCCTTTTATAAGCTTTAGAAAAAGTCAAAAAACAACAAAAATTAATTATCATGGAAACGCAAATGCTATTGCGTGTCAACCATGACTCAGACAACAATGCGTTTCAAATACGGTGATGTGGAATTTATTCTTCGTTTTCATTTCAACCCAAACACAAAACACGAATTAAATGGATTTCTTCTCTAATCCTTCTTTTTTTAATATTTTCCTTTTCTTTTCAGCTTTGTGATTTCCAAGAAGGAACCGAATAACCGATAAAGAAGGCCCAGAGAAAAAAATAGAACATAAGCAAGCAACGGAATGGCAACGTATCATCGATTTCAGATGTCGATCATCAAACGATACAACAACTTCATGACATGATCCAACGGTTGACATCTCGACCGCACCTCTTGTACAGAAACTTCGTCGCTCCTTAAAATTTGTAATTAAATTAGAAGTGATTTGTCTTGTTGTATTGTATGTATCTGAAATTGTTTAATTAGCAAAACACTTCTATCTTCATCCGGCATCCCTGGACTGGAAGCATGTATCCTGATTCATACATGATGTCAAAGGTTTTGCTCCATGTGGACGAGATTATACAGCTGGATGGATTGGATAGAGTTCCACGTCAGATCCACCACCCCGGGTGGCTGAGAGGTGGAGATTCCAGCCGCTTGTCCTTTTGTTAACATAAAAAAAACCGTTTTGGTGATCACAATACATCGCTGCGATCGTGTGGCTAGCAAATCCGGACTCTTTGACAAGGGCTTTATCCGCCACGTCATCCAAGATTTTATGAATAAAAGCGAAATTTTCTTCTATTTAGAAAATCAGAAACCCAGTCGAGGACAGAAAAGGAAAACTACAAAAAATAGCTTCTCTCATTTTTATTTTTTTAGTGTTTTTTCTTTTCTGTCTCCCTCTCTGTCTCTTTGTCCTTTCTCTTCTCTTCCCTCCTATTTGTCTATAAATGTGGTGACAGAACAGAATAACTCACACCGAGTACTCGCAGCCGCCTCCAGCGGAAGAAATGCAAACCATGACCGCTTCTCCGATGATGTTCCCGGTCCACTCCTATGAATACCGAGAGTTTCCTGCCGGGACCGATCAAAGTTCTGCCTATATTCCCTTACCCGACGTTCAAATTCGTACTTCTGGCGGCTTAAGCATCCCGGCGCATGCTAGCATTCTGGTACCCGACCGTGATATCTCCATCCCGGCCAGCTTTTCCTTAAAATTCCCGCCGGCAAAATTGACACACCTGACCCAATATGAATCAAAAGTTTTTTGTTTTTCAATTGTTAATTAAAACCTCGTTTTGCCGTAAGTTTTCTTTGATTCGGTTTGGAGAAGAGAGATGTTCTCGTTTCGAATTTAATCTCTCAACTGTTAACTGTTCGAATTTAATCATTTCGTAAAAAGAAAATAAAACGTGCTCTTTTGAGTTTATCGGTTTTATTCTACTATGCTAATATTGATTCGAAATCATTCAGTTTCAGAGGTCTGAATCTTTGTTTTCTTTTTCTTTTCTTTTCTATCGGAAAATTAAAGGCTTCGGTTTCACCAGTATTGGAGAACATGTTGGATCGGCCTCGAAAGCGTCGGAGCTCTGAGAAGATAATTCCCATTCTCGGTGTTCCTTGCGAATCGGTGAAGGCGTTCGTTCGATTTCTGTATTCGTCAAGGTCAGTTCCGGTACAACCGATTACAAGTTACAAATAGCTATCTCATCCAGGTATAACTTGATGCCTGGATCTAATAGCCACAGCACAGCACAGCACAGCACAGTTGCTGAATTCTGGGATAAACAGTAGAGACTAGAGAGAGAACGTCTCGGGGATTTTCTGTTGTGTGGTGAATTGGTTTAGGTTTGAAATGACCGATATACCCCTGATTCCAGCAGGTGCAGCGATGAAGACATGGTTAATTACGGGATGCATTTACTGGCTCTGTCCCACGTGTTCTCGGTACCCCAGCTGAAACAGAGATGTACGAGAACTCTGTGTGCACGGTTGACGGTGGACAACGTAGTGGACGTGCTTCAACTTGCGAGACTCTGTGACGCACCGGATCTTCACCTCAAATGCATGAAGTTTCTGTCGAACGAGTTCAAAGCCGTGGAGCAGACAGAAGGGTGGAAGTTCCTGCAAGATCACGATCCATGGCTGGAGCTCGAGATCCTACAATTCCTCGATGAAGTCGATTCGGTGGGTACCTATTCCCCATTCATCTCTACTTAACCCTAATTTTTATGGTAGGAATAGGATGATAGCTTAATTTTTATGGGAACAGAGGCAGAAGAGAAGGAGTAGGAAGAGGGAGGAGCAGAACCTGTATGTGGAGCTAAGCGAAGCAATGGAATGCCTGGAGCACATATGCACGGAAGGGTGCACGATTGTTGGACCGTACGATAAGGAGCCGCCTACCAAGAACAGGGGGCCCTGCAACAAGTTCACCACGTGTCAGGGCCTACAGCTCCTGATTCGGCATTTCGCAGGATGTGGAAAGAGGGTGAACGGTGGGTGCCGCCGCTGCAAGCGGATGTGGCAACTCCTCCGACTCCATTCATCCATCTGCGACCAACCCGATTTCTGCAAGGTTCCTCTGTGCAGGTGAGTTATGATGAGTTTACCACTTTACCTTACCTTCTTCTATAAATTAACTAGTTTTTAAGTTGATTTTAACCATTCGGTACGTAGGTAGGTATGGTAGTAATTGGATATTTGGATCGATCATGGAGTCATGGATGGTAAGCATAAGAGCAAGGTGCATGTATCGTTATTGGCTTTGGCCTGCCTGGTCACTGCCCAACAAAAGTTAAAATTGTACTGTGTGGGTCTGGCGGAGACGGTCCAATGAGGCCGTCCGTCGTCGTCGTCCATGAACAAAATCTCAAAAATCATGAGAGAGGGAGAAGAGGCCAATCTCTATCTATTTAGTTAATCGCTAGCAGTAGTCAAGACTAAAGAGTAAATTTACATTACTTACTAGACGGGTCAAACATCTGAGTGGGGGTATTAGATCAAAGTTCAAAAGCAAGGCTGCCCCCTCCACCTAACCAATCCGCTGTGTGAGGTATCTATCAATCTATCATCCTGATTAATTAAGCCGCCTTCTCTCCTTTCACTTGTCCTGGACAAGGGACCACCCCACCCTCCGACCAGTGTATATATTGGTATCGGATGGGGATTTCATTAGACCAACGTTTTCGAACCGCCGTTTGATCCGGACGGTCGTATCGTTTGACCCGAGAATCGTTCAGATAATTGGTTTCATTTTATCCAAAATCCGAAATTTAGTTATAAACTGTTGAAAAAGTCAATAAATCGTTGACCTGGGCAGTCGAACCGTCGATCCATCGACCTGTTCAATGGTTTTTAACTGTTTTTTTTTTTATTTTTTAATTTTTTTGTCAGAACAAACCGTCCGTTCGAACTGGATGGTCAGACCGTTGATTCGAAAACCGGTGTCCAAAACGATTCCGTTTCCGGGTCGTTTTTTAAAGCGTTGCATTGGACCAACAATGATTCGGCAAAATTTTGTTCTAAGAAATATCTTTTGCTTTGTTTTTCTTTCTGTTCACAAAGTAGGTAAAATATGGGTGTTCTCTGATGTTTGGTTTGTGTTGCTAGCTCTAATTGCCTAATTGTTATTTGTGACACAGGCAATTCAAATTGAGAACGCAACTTGAGAAGAAGGGAGACGATGCAAGGTGGAGACTTCTTGTGAGGCGAGTGATGTCTGCCAAAGCCATGTATTCCTTGTCCTTGTCCAAGAGGAAGAGAGAAGAGGGGCCAAGAGAAGCCATCCATGCCAATCCACCCCGAACCAGAAGCTTTACAACCCTATGAATTATTAAGCTTTCTATGTTTATCTTTTAATTACTTCTTTTCTTTCTATAAAAGAGGATGAAAATGATATATACATATATAGTATAGTCCAACCAATGGAATTTGATGCAGCTAGTCTAGTGTAATCTGTAAGTAAGTGTGCTTGTTTCTCAGATTTTATTAATCAGCATAACGCGGTAGACGATTTCCTTTCTACAGAGGATGGACTACAGGGTTGAATGTAAATGGAATGAGAGATCTGGGGGAATAGGTTAGGGTCGCTTTACATGTATGGTAAGAAGAAATAGATGAAAATATAGCTAGGGCCTAGGAGCAAAGTAGTTAACAGGGATTTTTTAGTCCCTGCTTGTAAATGGTGCTGCTTTACTTAATCGCTTGAAAATGAAAGCTCCATGGATGTTTCATGTTTGTCTCTACCAAATTCATTGAATATGCCGTCTAATCTCATGTCAAGTGGATATTGGCATGAGATTAAGCGACTCTAAACAAAATATATCGGTTTTGGGAGGAAGACGATGATGATGGTGGGCCGTTTAAGCGACAAATTAAACCATTCACAAATGACACCAAAGTCGAATGGCCTGTATTATATTGACATTTGTGTGAGGGATAACAAGGACAAAAAAAGAGGGAAATTGAAGATCTTATTAGCAAACTCATTATCCTGACTCCTGAGTGAGCACCATTCATGTCTCTAACCCGTCCAAACCAAAATAAAAAAGAGAAAAAAAAAAGTAAGTAATGAGAAAGAAGGAAAAGTCATCATCCCTATTATAGTAGTATATGTAACCGATGCTTTTAAATTTGTAATGCAGGAGTTGGTGTGGCACTAGAATATATATTGACCCTTAACCAAACAGAGAACTTTACCAAACAAGAAAACTACCAGCACGGTCCATATCGTAAACATAAAGACATTTGATTAGAGACTATTTCAAGAAATATATAAGTGTTGGGGAGACTTGACTATCAGAAAATTAAAAAAAAAAGAAGTGGGAAGACGAGGCCAAAAGCTAAAGAAGTGGTCTCGTCCCCGTCTACCGGTCTACAATTACAAAAGCCAAAAGGTGATTACTGTTGAGTGATGAACATCCACACCAGGACCAGGACCAGGTCCAGTCTCAGTCTCAGTCTCTGTGTGGGCCTTCCTCAATGTTCCTCTTTCAATTTCGATTTCTTCGCTGGACTGCTAACGACTCACATGAACAATGTCTTTATTTCTTTACCCTTTACTACTGGGTCCTTCACTATAGAAGAGTGGCAATTGTATTGTGAAGTAAGTCAGCGTAATTGATGGAGTGTAATCTGGCCGGTCCTATCTGTCAACGATTTTGTCTTTGGCTGGAGCAAGAGGTGCCTGAAACGGAGAAGAAAACGAGTAATCTCCGGGGAGGAACCCGGTAAGAATGCTCCGAAGCTCAAGTTAGTATTTCCTCAAAGGCAAGATAAAAAACCAGATGGCGCAAAGTTATCACATACCTCTGCACTTCTGCCAGTTCGGGTGTCATCACCTCTGCTGGGGCAGATAACCGCCACTGCTCTCTTTGTCGGAGCCATCTCTGTGATTGGAAGTGGCGATAGCAGGTGGCCGTGGAAGTGCGGCTGTCAAGCGTCAGATCCTAAGTCAGTCAAGTGCGCCGCCTCAGCATACGGACTCTTTTGGTGTCAGGTCAGGTACGGTTGTTCAGTTCGGCGTCCTGGAGACGAGGTGCTGGAGTGGTGTGTGAGGTGAAGTCTTGAGTTCGGATAGAGGTGTGGCCCGAACTGCCCTGGGGTGGGCCAGTTCGGGTTGTTGCCCTTTGCGCTCCTCGTAAGGCTCGGGGTCAAAGGGAGAGTTCGGGCTCCTTTTGGGGAGCTCGAACCACTGGTTCCTCCTCTCAGAGCTTGCGCCTTGAGCGTACTATCGTGCCGAGCTATTGCTTCTGCCACGTGTTGAGTGGTCAAGAGGTCGGGCCAAATCTTTCTTCATCAATTGCCCCCCACTCCTCGCGCTAAGGGGCTTGCCCTGGTGCAAGGAGTTTGCGAGGTGGCAGGTGGATTTGACCCGTACTTCAAACTGGTTGACTGATAGCGCGAAGTGCGCGTTCGTCAGGAGATTTCCGGGTTTCTCGAGTGCCAAAAAGCCAGGAAACGTGTCAATCTGTCTTTAAATGCTGGGAGACGTGACAACACGCGTTATTTCAAAATTTAAAAAATGCACCGCTGGGAGACGTGACAGCCGGCATTTCAAATTTGAAAAACGTGTCGCTGTCGCCTTTAATGCGGGGAGACGTGCCCCGGCGCTGCTTCAGTTTCAAAAGACGTGCGGCTAGTCACGTCTCGGTCTTAGGAGGCGTGCAGTCAGCTTGATTGTGGGCCGTTGGATTTGCCTCGATCAGAACCGTCGGTTTTCGGTCACTGTGGGTATAAATAGTGGGGGACCCCAGTCGCTTTTCATTGCCATTCTCCTGCGTTTGCTTCTTGAGCTCGCGTCCATGTTTTTGCTCGCGTCAACCTTCCGTAGTCCGTTTGCTTTTTCCGGGTGAGTCAATACTTTCTTCCGGGTATTCTTTTCCTCCCGATGTCTAGCTCAAACAGCTTAGACAGTTCTTCGAGGGGGTCAGATGCAGGTTCTACGAACCGAGCTGCATCCCCCGACAACCTTAGTGAACCCGAGGTAGAGCTCGAGGAGGAGCTCGAGGAAGAGTTCAAACCCATAGGCCGAGTCGCCTCGGGTAGTTTGGCGTCCTCCTCCCGTCGAGGTCGAACGTTAGACAAGTTTGGGCCCTCAACCATGACGCCTGAGGGGCTTTACTCCCTTATCACCCAGTTCAACCTGCCTAGGGAGTACACTTACTTTATACCGTTGAGCGACTTCCCTTGGGAACATGGTCCCGACGAGATCATGATATTCTGGGAGCAGCTTGTCACTGGGTTGCGCCTACCTTTCCACACCCTCATCGTCGAGGTTATGAACCACTTCGGCGTTACCGTCGGCCTGCTCCACCCGATTCTATCCGTAATTTGGTTGGGATTATCTCCCTCTTTTGCGAACAGATTTTGCCTTTAGACCTAGAGATCTTTTCTTACATTCTAATGCTTAAGAAGCAAGCGGGTCCCCTTTCCGGGCGTAGGTGGGCGTACTACCTGTCTCCTCGCCCGGGGTTCAAGCTTTTACACGATCTTCCCAACAAGGTCCCGGCGTAGAAATGGGACTACTTTGGGGTGCGAAGTGCAATGGGGTGGCCGTTCCAAATCGGGTAGGGGATGGCTGCCCCCAATGCCGGTGTTACGCTAGATAGGGAGACGGCGAAGGGCCTCCGGGAATGGGCCCGGCTTGGGCTAAAATGCCACCCTTATCTGACGGAGGCCAAGCTCATCTAGGCCGGCCTGAGTTCCGGTAGGTTCCTTGCTCAGAGGCTTGCCTTTTGTTTTGCTTTCCGTTCTTTCGTTTTCTTGATGTCGAGTTTTTTTTGCAGGTGTGATGGACGCATGAAAGACTCGCGGTGGGAACCTGTTTCATTACATGAAGAGGAGGAACCGAGTTGCCAAACGGACTCGTGTCAAACTGCCCCGAGATGCGGAGCTCGAGGTACCGTGCTACCCGCCAGTGGATCTGCCCAGGGAGCTCGAGATGGCCCCTCTAGTACAAGAAGCGGTAGGGGCTCCTTACGCCGAGGCTACTTATACGGCTCCTCCTTACATTGAGACTGCTTATACGCGAGTTGGGCCTTCAGGCTCGGGAGGCCAGGGCGAGTTCAGGAGCGTGTTGTCGCCGAACCGCGCTCTTCAAAAAAATAGGGAGGCCGTTTACCCTGAGGAGGTCGCGGTGTGGACCGATCTTCCTTTGAACCATGTAGCCGGGCGTGCTGCCTCTTATGCCATGGTGGTAAGTCAGCGACTTCTTGTCGGGCTCCTTGTCATTACCTTTCTTGCTTGAACATTCTCGTTATTTTTCTTTTTGGTAGGTGAACTCCTCCATCCATGCCTTAGTGGCCCAAGCAGA